AATCCGCCTGCCAATGCAGGGGACATGGGTTTGAGCCCTGGTCTGGGAAGATCCTATGTGCCATGGAGCAACTAAGCCCATGCGCCACAACTACTGAGCCTGCAAGCCACAACTACTGAGCCCGTGTGCCACAACTACTGAAGCCCATTGGCCTAGATCCCCTGCTCCCCAACAAGAGAAGCCACAGCAGTGAGAAGCCCATGCACTGCAACAAAGAGTAGCCCCTGCTCACTACAACTAGAGAAAGCCTGCATGTAGCAATGAAGACCCAACACAGACAAAATAAATAAATTTAAAGAAAAAAAGAAAAGAAAATGAGGACCTCAGTCCTACAACTACAAGAAAATGAATTCTACCAACAACCACTGAGCCTGGAAGATGACTCCAAGCCCCACATGAACTACAGCCCTGGCTAACACCTGGACTTTCAGCCTGATGAGACCTTGAACAGAAAAACCAGCTGGAACCAAGCAGAACCCTGCGCCCCCCTCCCAAGTACAAATCCCCTCTATGTCTCCTGCCTCTTCTTTATAGAAAAGCTGAAGTCTCCAGGCCTTCCTGAGTCACAAAAGAGTAGGCTCAAGCAGCTAATGATTAGGACAATAGAATCACAGACTCAGTGTCTGATGCACATTCCTGAGTTGTTTTACAGACACTGTAACTGCCACCAGAGGGAAAAAGCTAACTGCATGATGATCAGACTGCAGCCATGACATGAACTGCTCCATCTTGAGCAGTACTGAATCTATGGCTAGCACAATTCCAAGAACTGGCCTTAAGAGAATGGGATTAACACTATTGCTCATAATAATCTATATCCTTGTGGGCATCAAAATAATTTAGCTTGTTCTGCCTTTATATGTAAATGAGCAACTACAATGGTCAGCAAAGAGATGGTACAGACCCACGTCAACATCTTCCACTCTAGGAACATGACTCCCTATTTCAGTGTGAAGTTACAGATGACCGACCTTCACTCATAATCCCACAGAAATGGAATGATGTTCTGACAAGCGGGGATATGTAAGCAGCTTTTGGCAGGAAAGAGCTCTTTGCAGGAAAAAGCTCTCTGCAGGAGGCACCCTTTTGTCTTGTCACTAACCTTAAACCAGGCACCCCCATGCTCTACTCATCTCTGGCCCTAGCACACCTTTCAAATCTTTTGATCACACAATACCTTGTCTAATCTCTTGGTTCTTTCTGCAGATCAAAGAAGTAGAAATGAAGTAATTAACAGATGACCAGATCTCTTCCCTAGGTTCCCCTTCAGTAATATTGTGAACAAACTCTGTGAACAAGATAGCATCTAAAGAAAAATCACAAGAAGTCAGCAAGCCAGCACACAAGCCTGCACAGTGTGGGATGGCAACGACTCTGACCTCCATCTCAACGATTAACTGAGATTATGTCCCTTTTTCCCTTTAAAAACTTTCATGGCTGAGCAGAATCTTTGGAGATGGTTTTGGGGGGACAATAAATCCACCAGCTCCCCGGATTGCTGGCATTCTAATTAAAAGCAACTTTCCTTTCTACCAACATCTGTCTCTTTCTCTCGAGTATTGATTTCTGAGCAGCAACCAGACGGACCTGATTTGGTAAAACAGCCACATCATGCTCCAACTTCTGACCTAAACTGTGAGATAATTTGTGTTGTTTTAAGCCACAATGTTTGTGGTAATTTGTTATGCAGTAATAGAAAACTAACACATAGGGGACAGATGTGTTCAGTACTCATATAGAATTAGATAAGGAGCGATTGTCTGAGTAGAGAGTTTCAGAGTTCCATTTCCACACTCTGCAGGCAAGGAAAGGCATGGAAATATGCAGTTAATCTGCATGGACCTGAAGAATATTCCATTATCTGAGTGGATGTCTAGATATACCAGTAGTAAATGTTACCAAACAAAAGTTTGAGTGTCAGACACACAGTAAGGCCAAACAAAGTGAAACATGAGTCTGGAGCAGAGAAAGGCTTATTGCAGAGCCAAGCAAGGAGAACGGGTGGCTCGTGCTCAAAAACCCCAAACTCACCAATGGTTTTTGGAGAAAAGTTTTTACAGGCAAAATTTGGGGTGAGGGCTGAAGGGCTGTGTGACTTCTTCTGATTGGTTGGTGGTGAGGTAACAGGTTGATATTCCAGGAATCTTGTGCTCAGCCTGAACCATCCTCCACCTGCATGGGGGCCTTAGTTCCTGCAGAAGAACTCAAAGATGTTGTTATGTATATCCCTTGAGGAGGAACCAGGATCCTGCTTTAATGGCTACATTACAGGTTTTTTTTTTTTTGGCTGTACTGCACAGCCTGTGGGATCTTAGTTTCCCAGCCAGGGATCAAACCCACACCCCCTGCATTAGAAGTGTGGAGTCTTAACCACTGGACCACCAAGGAAGTCCTTCACTACAGTTTCTTGATTGTTCCTCCTTTGTTTCTGTATTTCCTTACTTCACTGATTAGAAACTGTTTAATCTGCTCTTTGGAACTCAGTTAAGGTCTAGAAGGCTGAAGCCTTGATCCTGCAAATAAGATAGGAGGGGACATGGAACTGCTTTTGTGCCCAGGTGGGCCTCACAGGGTCCTGTTCGGTTTCATAAACAGTCATCCCTCTAATGCTTAAACTGAGTGTTGGAAAGTTCACAGGACAGTCAACACTGGGGTTTTAAAACCCAACCAATCAGATAACTCTAAGATTCCAAAGGGGTAATTAACTAACAATTCCTCAGCCCTCATCAGACTAACCAGTTTACTTCTGCAATCTCAAAGTAAGGAGGTACAATCTTTGGGTCTTCATCATTCCTGTCTTCTGATGGGCCATACCATCATCTAACATTCCTTCTACCTTATACATAAGCAATCCAATTGTACTTGTCCTTTCAGTAACTGCATGGAGGTTCTCCTGTGTTTGTGTATTTTTTTCATAATATCGGGGGTCACCAATCATCACTTTTGACCCCTTAATCTAAAAGCCATAACCACATAGCATTATAAGAGTTGTTGGCTCACTCAGTCCTCGCTGGAGTTACCTCCTTCACTTGGAGGTGGGGATGGGGAGTGTGATGGTTAGTTCTGTCAACTTGTCTGGGCCATGGGAAGTCCATTATCTGGTTAAATGCTATTTCTGGGTGTGTCTTCGAGGGTGTATCCAGAAGAGTTTAGCATTTGAATTGATGGACTGAATAAAGCAGATGGCCCTCCCCAATGTGGGCATCATCCAATTAGTTGATGGCCTGAATAGACTGCCTGACTATACAGCTGGGACATTGATCTTCTCCTACCCTCAGTGCTCCTGGTTTCCAGGCATCAGACTTGGACTAGAATCTACACCATGGCTCTCTGGCTGTCTGGCCTTCAAACTACACCACTGGCTTTCATGGGTCTCCAACTTGCAGATGCAGATCATGGGACTTCTCACCCTCCACAACTGTCTAAGCCAATACCTTATAATATACGAACATTTTTGGCCCATTTCTCTTAATTAAATTATATTTTAAAGTGTTAAGAATAAAGAATACACATTGAAGTATATAGTGGTAAAGGGGCAGCTTATCTGCAACTTAATCTCAAACGATTCCGGAAGAAAAAAAAAATTTTTTTTTCCTTAACTTTCAAAATATCAAAATAAAAAATTAGAAAAGAAAGGAAGGGGAAAAGGAAGGAAAGAAACAAAGAAAGGCATACTCCAAGTAGAATATTTTCATCTCCTTTTATTGAAGGAAATAAAACTTGTGCTGCAGAGGCAGTAGTACCTCAGAGCATGACAAGGTAGCCATTGGGGCTGACATGACAAGCCATAAAGCTGGCCAGGGGTCCTACCATAATGGGAGGACCCAAACCACAAAGATAGCAGGAGGTAGCAAACATCCCCAACACCCAGTGCAGGCATTTCCATTTGCAGAGAGCTTGGCCATGCATTGTAAAAACAGGGTCCCCTCACAGCTGGCAGACTATCATCTCAGGCCAACAAATCCATCCAAAACTAACACGTAGCCTCAGATTTGGAGATCGTTCCCTTTGACCCAAAGATTCAGGCCATCAGAAGATCTGAGTTAATCTTTTAGCTCCTTATTGCTGATGGAAAAAGAGGCTGAGTTCTTGAAACATCACATAGGTATAGCTGGACAGGTGCTGATGCCCAGCCTTGTTCTAAAAGCAGCTAAATATTTTTTCCTGACTTTTCACACTGCTCTCACCCAGCATGTGCCCTAGGAAACCTCTCAACGTTCTAAACAAGGAAAGAATGAGGGCAGCAGCCTAGGGGGATTTAGGGAGTCAAAAGCTGTTACATAGCCAATACCATTTCACAAGAAATAGCGTGGGGAACACTATTGGGTCAAGATCCTCCCAAACAGCTGCTAGAAGCATACACAAAGAAAAATGTGGTAACTCTCCCTCCCATATCAGGATCAGCTGTGCCAAAGTCATGGTCCAGAAAAAAAGAGCCATTTCATGTCCCTGGAAGAATATCAACCTCCATGGCATTTCTCAAGTCATTCCAATTTTCAAGTACAATAGTGTGTTTGGGCAGTTTTGAAACAGAAAAGCAAGCACTAAAGAAAATTCTCAACCGACTGCAAACTGATAATGTTATAAAGCCAAAAATTTATACAGTCAAGAACTGATTGGTGGAGGAAGGATTTTGCTATGTAGAAATAGGAGTCCAACGGTTTACTCATATAAGCCCTTGATCATAAACCACCCTCACATCCACAGATTGGGAGCAAATTCCTTATTTTAAAATGGCCATCATCCGATTAGTCAACTGCAGTTCTCTTCGATGCTGGACACATGGTTTTCAAGGATCTAAGTCTTGAGAGCACTAGATCAGGAAAGGGGAGGAGCAAGACAAGGAAGAGCG